CTCCAGCCCTTCCCTCCCTGCTGATAGTCTTTCCATACCCTGGAAGTATCTTTCTTCTGTAAGTCACTTATGTCTCTTCCTGCTTGAGGGCTCATTTCTCAGAATCTTCTAGCCTGGAGCAGGCGAGGTTCCTAACCCTGAAGGTAGGTCACCTATCCCTTGGAGCTACAGTGCCCTTATCTGTCAATAAGACCCTACCGCTTGCCCTGCCTTCCTCTCTAAGGTGTTAATAATTTTGTGCTTTACCCAAATGAGGGGGTACACTATTCCTACCTTCTCCCTTAGTGACTGTAAAGTCATGGAATTGTGGGACCAGGAAGCAGAAACTCTGCAGAGATCATCTTTGCGACAGTCCCTTCTAGCACATTCTACCAAAGTAAGCTCTGGTGAATTTCTTTCATTCTCAACAGGTCTGTCATTTTGTATTTGAGGGTTAGATCTCCAGTCTGTTAGCTGTTTGTATGTGTGGGAATCAACCTTTGGACCACCCAGGGCTGTATTTGAAAAGACTGATGGCTTTCTTTCTGATACCACTTTGTTTCATGGACATCAGCCCCTTAGTCAGGAATCTGTCTTTTAGATTCACTTTGTATTCTTAGTGCTTAAGAAGATGTCTGGATGAATGAATGAATGAATGAATGACCGAATGAAAGATTTTGGCCCCTCTAATAAGGACTGGAGGCACCATTAGGTAGAACTGGGGATTACAGTGAAGGGTAGTTTTTCCTTGGTTGGTGAAGCATTTTCCTAAGGCTGGGGAAGGCAGACTAGAGAGATTCAGAAGAAATACAAATAAGAAGTCACAGTCCTGACTCCTTGCCCCATGACTGTGGACACCCAGACCACTCCCCAGCTCCCAGACCTGACTGGGTAAGAAAAGCAGCTCAGACATCCCCTCACCAAAGGAGTCTCGGGGAGTCCCCAGGCCTTTTTATTTTTAAAATTTGGATCCATTTCTACACTTATTATGTTCTTTTCCAGAACATTGCATTAGCTGGCTTTTAATTTAATTTAATTTTAAAATTTTATTCATTGATTGATTTTAGAGACAGAGAAACATTGACCCGTTGCTCCACTTATTTGTGCATTCATTGATTGATTCTTTCTTTTAGTCATTTTTTAAACCCTCACCTGAGAACATGATTTTTTCTTATTGATTTGAGAGAGAGAGGGAGGGATAGAGGGAAACATTGATGTGAGAGTGCAACATCCATCAGTTGCTTCTTGTACATGCCCTGACCGGGGGTCAAACCCTCAACCTGGGTATGTGCCCTGATCGGGAATCGAACCTGCCACCTTTTAGTGTATGGGACGGTGCTCCAACCACCTGAGCCACCCTGGCCAGGACTCACTGATTGATTCTTGTATGTCCCCTGACTAGGGATCGAACCTGCAATCCTGGTGTATCAGGATGACACTCTATAAACAGCTGAGCTGCTTGACCAGGGCCCTCAGACCTTTTTAGGGCAATGCACTCAAAGTATGGGTTAGGATTGGTGTCAGTCTGCAAGCTGTTATCCTTCTGAGAAGGTAAGTACAGAAATAAAAGCGTTTAGGAATTTTTATAGTTATTTGATGGAGTAATTTTAGATATGTTGATTCTAATAAGAAATTTGGACTCCTGTTTTTATGTATTCTTTTTTTTTTTTTGGTTTAGAAGGATGGGTACAAATATCACAAAATGCCAGATGTCCTTAATGGACTAAAGCTGTGCCTCGGCCCAGCAAGCTCTTCCTCTGCTTGCTTGTGGGCTTCTCTCCTTGGGGTGAAGAGGTTGGGAGACTTGCGTCACTTGGGAAAAGCCCCCTGAGTTTGCCTTGGTGCCCTTCCCCCAGTTTCCTACTATTCCCAATCGAGATTCTAGTGTCTAACTCTCACTTCTTAAGACAGCAGGGTTGATTTCCATGCCCCTCACTGTGGGGTCAGCTCAGGGTTAGCAGTAGCTCTGAGGGGGTCCCCTCACACTCCTTGAAAGAGTTTTAGGGGTGACTCCAAATTCACTTCCCGTGTTTGATCGACTGGGTCTTATTTTTCTTTGTCCCCCCTTACCCCCCAGCATTCAGCTAGTGTTCTATAAAGATACTCCTTTATTTCCTAGGAAGCAGAGGGGAAGTTAGTGTGCTTTTTGTGCTCAAACTTTGTGCTTGCTCGCTCCTGCTCAGATTCTCTAGAGATCATATGAATTCTTTAAAAGGAATTTAAGATGTTAAGGAAAGGCTTGTGCTTCAGGTGTTGGGAGCCCTGGGCTTTGGCCACTAATCTCTTGTGTGACTTTGGGCAAGCTATTAACTACTGTGTGGACTCAGTCTCTTCATCCGTAAAAACGAGAGAGTAGGGAAAATGTTGAATGTTGAATGACCTCTAAAGATTTTCCCTGCTCTCTTGCTTGCTTTAATGCTGATTTTAAGATTTCCAGGAAGGGGGAAGTATTGTCTTTTCTAACTGTCAGCATGGGAATCATCTCAGTTATCCGTGAATCCTTCAGTTGGCCACCAAGATAGACCTGTAAGATAGACACCTGGAGGACAACGGATGCCTTCTTCAGGTCCTTTAGGGCTCTGTCTACATGAGACCTCTGTGCTGAATGTCAAAGTTCTTCATTGTGGACAGAGGGCTTCCTGGAAGGAGAGGAGAGCCAGAGACAGGCACTTCACTCTAGAGTCTACAAATCATTTGCAGCCAACCTGTGCCTTCATTTCCTTAACCCCAGCTCTATTATCTCATTAGTTTTTAAGTGATGATCCAACTCTTGGTTTCTCTCTTTCTGGAATGGAAATCTGGAATGAAGACTAGAGCGGAAGATGGCAGTAGAGATAGAGGGGGCCTATGACAAGACAGACAAAGTAGTGTCTCTGAACCAGTGGTGTGGTGGTAGATGTTTAACCACCGGCTTTGGTGTTACAGAAGCCGTGATTGGTAGTGTTTGCTGATTTTCATGGTACACTCTCACTGTGGCTGATTTTAAACTACCAACATGGACTTGGGAAGAGATGAACAATAGCACATCACTATGTAGTATTTCTATCATATAGTAGAAACAATAGATGTAACTAGCCTCGAGTACAGATAAAGTAAAATGTAAAATAATTAGAAAGTGATGAATTTTGAGTACTTGTTATCTTTGTTTTTAATATAATTTGTTTAATTGTAAGTTTATACAATTTAATTTTTTCCAGCTTTTTAAAATTGTTGACAGTATTACAGATGTCCCCCATTTTACCCCTTTGCCTCCCTCCACCCAGCCCCCGCCACTACAATTTAATTTTTAATAATGACTGTGTTTAATAACCAGTTTGCAAAATTCCTGAAAATTTAACAATCGGTTCTCTAAGCCAGAAGCCACCTCCCAGAACACCATTGGAGCCCTGGGTCTTCCCTGTAGGCCACCAAAAGGTAAAATGCAAAACATTTTGTGGACTTTAACACAAAATATTTTTTTTGTTCCAAATGATATCGAAGAAAAGTGTGGGTGGTCTTTCCCCGTTGTGAGTGGGAGTGGGGGTTCTTGGGGTAATGCTGGAGAAAGCATTTCCGGAGGCCCCCATGGGAGGATGAGCTATGGTAGAAAGTGTAATTTCTGTGGAATTATATCCCTTCAGTAGAGCTAAAAGCAAAGCCAGTGTCCAGAGTTTCCGTCTCATGTTGCAGCCAGGTCCGATTCAGCATCAGGCTAGCTAGTCCATTAGTCCGTTGTGTATAGGGGCCCACTTGGCCATAGGCCATGTGGGTGCATCCAGGGGAGCAGGAGCAAGAGAGCCCTGCAAGCCAGGAGTCATGTGCAACACACCAAGAGCAACCAAGAGAAACCAAGAGAGTAAACTCCTGTGTCTAGGGGATTAAATATCCCAAATTTTGTGCCTTTGCTGTGGCCACGCCTATTCTGGCCAGTGACCCCTTCCCAGGTGTGACTGACAGCCAAGCACCTTCGCTAGGCCCCCCAACTTTACCAGGCATGTGTCTATCTTCCCTTTGTTTCTTCCCTGTCATTAATAACTAGGTTAATTACAACACTATCACAATCATGTATAAGGCTTTAGTCCTTGCTGAGACATAGTTCTTGCTACCTGCCCTCAAGGAGTTTAGACTCAAGTAGGAGGTAA